CGCAGCCGTGCACAGCCGCCCCGGTGCAGCGCAGCTGCCTCAGCCCCCTGTGACCCGAGGTGAGCGTGGTCCGCGTCTCGTGCGGCGGGTGCTTGGGGCGGGTTGGAGCCGGGCTCCGAGGCGGTCGGGGAGCCGTGCGCGAGGTGGCGGTGTGTACCGCCTCCGTGCCCGGCGTGGGACGGGCAGCTCCTGCTTTCCCAGACTTGGGCGTACGGCTGAGACCTGAAAGTGCGGGACCGTGCCTCAGTAGGCGCCCAGTCTGCTGTGATGGCTGTGGGAATTTAATGCCCAGCTGAATTTCAAGGTTTAAGAAAGGTTATTTGTCTGTGGGATGGACTTTCCTCGCTGTGAGCTTGAGCAAAAAGAGTCCCAACCAAGGGTTAGAACGCCGGGGTTCTGAACTTCGCCGTGCCGCCGTTTCCCTCGCTCTGGCTTTGGGCGGGCCATGTAGTTTGTGAGTCGCGGTTCCCTCGCCGGTAAGGTGCTGTCAGCTGGATGCATCTTCATTCCCTTGGTTATACAATTCCCGTGCGTCATTTAGTCTGTGTGGTCTCCTTGTCACAAGTAATTTTTCCCCATGCCGTCGTAGCTGTTGGTCGGATTGGGTAATTCATACCCACTATTCCTCTCGGTAGGGTGTTAGGGTCTCAGTATAAAATTGAAATGACTCCTTTAAGAAGGCTACTGCTGGTCATTAGGTATAGACGGAAGCCAGGTATTAACTGGCCAAGATTCAGAGAACACAGGATTTTGGACTATGATGGACATGTTTCAGGTTCCCTGTACTATGTAATCGGCTTCCTCACACTTCCAAATAGTATCATTCTGTAGTGGGATTGTGTTCATGTAGAATTTTAAGTTTTTTCAGGCGGCCGAGACGGGAGGATTGCTTCGAGTTTGAGGCCAGCCTGTGCTACATGGTGAATTCAATCCCACCACGAACTACACAGTGAGACCCTGTCTAAAAAAAAGGGTTTTAGGTTTTTATATTTATTCTGTTGCACTCTGTGCTAGAACCTATGAAGGGTCTTAGTACTTTTAGCTTATAGATGGGCAGATAGGTGGTTAAACCAGTGGACCCATGACAGTGTTTTCAAACTATAGTCTCTTGCTCATCATTGAGCATTTACTATTCACGTGGTTTTGAGCTGCCTTCACCACAACCCTGAGGGAAAACAGTGCCTGTACCTGCACCCACGTGTTGGAACATTGAGGTGTTTGTTTTAGGAGGGAAGAGTGGGAGTGTTACACAGTGTTTCTCAACCTTAGAAACTTCTTAGGCCAGGTGTGGTGATGTACTCAGGAGGCTGAGGCAAGAGGATCACTGTGAATACCAGACCAGCCTGGGCTACATAAGAGTTCAAGGCCAGCCTGAACTGCATAGTGAGACCTTGTCTCAAAAAAAAAAAAAA